TCGACGTGTTTTCGGACGTTGCACCCGGGACTTGTGCACTTGTAGTAACTCCTGTACCGTCGAATGACTCGAAACATCAGTTTTTTTTAACATAGTCTTGTATTATAATTCTACCATCTTATAAACTTCGAAAAATATGTTAAAAACAAATAGAGAAATCTTATCCACAATGTTCATTCAAAATAATTTACATGCCACGTAGAAAATAGACTCAATCAGAAAAATATATTCTCCAATGGAACTCTAAAACTCTAGGTCCTACTGGCGTGGCAGCAATAAAAAGAGACTCGGTTTACTCTTAAGTTTATTTTAGATCCAAGTAGAGACTCAGTCTTGGAATGTGTTACTTCATATTGTTCTACACATGTCATTCAAGACTTTGGTCTATTTACATGCCAAATAAGTACAATTAGAACGAAAGCATTTTAGATGATGCAAACTCAATCTAGTCTCATGGCACACAAATGAAGTAAGAGATTGTTTTTGAGTAAATCGCAATTTTAATCTGGTATGTTTCACTAACCTCCTAACTTCGAATCGCTTTTTTTATTCGTCCCTTATGTTTGCAAAAATATTACAAAAGGTCCTTTTTGTTGCAAAGGTCCCTTATGTTTTGCAAAAAAAGTTGTGATTTCGTCATTATGTATGTTTGGAGACCTTTTTAAGGGACGATTTTTTTTTAAAACAATTTGAAGGGACGAAAAAGTTATGGTAGTGAAACATACACGACTGAAATTACTAAAATAGCAATTTACTCCATTATTTTACCTAGGATTTGGATTCCCTTTCACAACCTTCTGCCCATACTTCCGCCAGCGGTACCCATCGTCAAGTATATCCACCTCACTTGTCGTCTGGACCACGACTCTCGGCTCCCTCATAGCTCTCGTAGCCCCACTCACCTCCGAAGCATAAGCCTCAATCCTCCTAAAACAAACACGCACACACACACACAAAGGATAATAAACTATCCAATCAAATCACAACCCCAAAAAAAATAATAATAAACCAAAAAAATAATAATAATAAAAATAAGACCTTCTCTTTAGTTCTGATTCATCTCCTTCCCCATCACAACCCACCGACACGCTCCCGTTCGTCGCACGGTCATCGTCGTTATCCTCCTCATTCGAGAAAGTAAACGACCCCTCCAAACTCCCATCCGCCCCCAACTTGTCCCGAGCCACCGTGTGCTGGTTTTCCCCGCAAACATATTCATGAGACGGGGAAGACGGTGTCTCGGGATTATTGCTCCGCCCAACCGGCCAGATGAGGTCTCCTCCACCACCACCCTCGTTCGGCGTGCGGCGGCCGAGAGGAGTAGGCTTCGGGTGGATGTGAGCCCCTTTGTAGATAATCTCCGTGACGTGGCCTTCATGTGACCTCTCGACTTTTTTCTTAACGGGGCAGCTCGGGTGGGTGCACTTGTAGTAGCTCCGAGGATATTCGCTCCCTTTCACCTGCTTCTGCCCGTATTTCCTCCAGTTGTAGCCGTCTGCCTCGTCATCGTGGGCCCGCTCGTCAAGGAGCGAGGAAGTGTTCTCAGGAGATGGGCTCGTGTTTTTGTTCGTGTGGTGTGAGCTTTCGGTTTGATGGGGGAACGAGGTGTGTGCCTGCTCGATCGTAGGTGGTTTGTTTATAATAAAGAGAAAAAAAAAAAAGTAATTTTTTATTTCCGAAAGGTAGTTCGAGTTTTTTCTCCAATATAAAACATTAAAAGGCAAATTCTTCTTCTACTCAAGTCACAATGTATGAAAAAGTTAATGCTGAATACAAACAATCGAAGGGACAAGGATTCAAAGAGATGAAGAAAGATTGGAATGAACTTTACTCTGTTTATCGCATGTAAATTAGGAACGGATTTGGATTCTGTCATAATAGGTTCAGCTGCCATCATCATCAATGTTGAGTTCGGATTGATACAACCCGGAGGAGCAAATGCAAATTTTCCAGTTGTGGGAGATGGCTGAACCTGAACAGTGAACAACTTGGGTTCTTACCATGAATATGCAGTAGTAATATAAACTTATTCTCGACAATTGAGTATGGTTAATTCACGTTTAATGTTTTGTGGATTTTTTGCGCAAAACCAACTCTATTATAACCACAAGATCAAACTGAAGACAAATTAACCAAAACGAAAAAAAAAAAAAATAATAATAATAATAATAATAATAGAGAGAACCTAACTACCACATGTCAAGTTATCTTTCATTAACTTCCAATATAGCTTAAAAGGTGATACAAAATACAACACCTTTCATAATAAATTTATACTGTATTGTTCTATACAATAGTTGATCTGCTATATCACAAAATACAACACACCTTTCATATTAAATTTCAAGTAGCATGCTAAAACTTGAATAAATTATCAGTTAACAAAAATACTCACCAGTGAATTAGTAAGGAAAACAGGGGAATCAAGCAAAGTAGTTGGACTAAGACCAGGTGGTATCGTCAAATAAGGAGACCGAACTTCTTCCTTCGGAAGATCACCGTGCCTAATACTTTCTGTATTTAGCCTCGGAGCATTGAAGCCAGCTCGAGCAGCCCTTCTCTCCATAAGGCCTCCACCACGTGAGCTTATTTTAGGCTCCATGAGAGAATTTGAGCCGTTCGGTCCATCTACTGATATGCTGGCTTGAGTTAGAGATTTATTCTGATAAGGTTCGGTTTTAGTTTCATTGACTGAGTTGGGAAATGATCGCACGAGTGTATCATTGGAAATCACTGATGAAAAAAGAGAACTTGGGCTTGGACTTGGAGGCATCCAATCTCCCATGATAGCAACATGATCATCAAAATCCTCACCGCCCATGAGAAATCCTTTTCTTTTTTTTTTCTTATAAAAGCTTTCTCGATACAAGGGGACAGATTGTAGAAGCAAGAAATCTGAGAGCAAAAACCAGAAAGAAGTTAGACAAATAAAACTTCACATTGTTTTCGTTTCATGTTTTTCCAGATCACATAAAACCTCATTACTTGGGCTATGTTTGGTAACCAAGTAAGCTAGCTTACAGCTTATTTGGTTAGCTTATATCTTCTTGTATTCGAATGACTAGTTTTTTAAAAAACTCGAGTTTATCTCATAAGTTTCTTTAGGTAGCTCTTCAAATAAGCTCGTTGAAATTTCTATTTCAGCTAGCTTATCAACTAATTTTACCAAACACTTTTATCATATAACCTAGCTTTTCAGCTATAAGCTATAAGCTCGAAAATATATCAGCTAGTTTTACCAAACACAACCTTAAAGTTCTTTTGTCATCGTGCTAAAACCTTAGTAGTGGTTTTTGCAATCATATCTTGGCAGCAACTAGAACTAGTAGATATTTATTCGAGTCGATCGGCACACTTCCTACTCGAAAGCAACTCAGACAGAGAGAATAAAGAAACCTTAAATAAAGCAACACTCAATTCATACTTTTTCTCCAAGACTGATATGACTGGCATCATTGCAACTTGCAGAGCCACTAAAACAGCATAGACAATGGCAAATTCCATGGGTCTCAAAAGCTAAACTTGAACAATAAAGTAAATTCTCTACCCTTCAAGCAGAATACCCATTTCTTTATTGAGAGAAATGAACTAAGCAAGAAAAGAAAATAGTGCAATAACATTGTGGTTTTCAAAATCATTAACAAAAGAAGCAACTATTGTAAGCCAAAGTAAACCAACCTACCTTAAGATTCACCGATCATTGATACGAAGTGGGTAGATGCTACGGTCCCGTTACGAAATCATCCCGTCGAGATTTCTAACCGTTAGATCAACTAACCCCAACGGTTACAAATCCCGATGGAATGGTTCCGTAACGGGACCGCAGCATTTCCCTATGAAGTGGTGAATATAGCAATGAGCTCTCAAATCCAAAAATTACTCAATAATTAGAAATTAACCTTCTGTAAAACCCACAACCTTAATGCAACATGTCCTAGCTAAACAGAGACTATATCAACCTTAAAGGTTCGATCTTTAAGGAAAACAAAGACACAACAGAGACAAAAGATTCAAGCCATACAACATAGACCCAACATATTACACAAAAAAAACCACAAAAGTAGCTCAAACACAGACAAACACAGGCTCAATGGGTTTTCTTCAAAATCAAGAAAATGCTCAATCATTAGCAAATGACAAACATAAGTGATTAAGTACCTTAATCAAGAAACAGCCTTTTTTTTTTTCAGACGCTCAATGGGTTTTCTTCCCCAATTTTGAAAGATAAAAAATGGGGAAAAAAATCGTGTTTTACGCCAACAGAAGGAGCAAAAATAGAATCACCACACCTTCCCCTTTTTTTTTTTTTTGCAATTTTCTTGTGTCGTTCGATAATCTATTTATACCCACCTTCTTCGCCTCTCTCTCTCCAGAATTTGTTCAGCAGTTAGCAAGAATTGCGATAGCTGATAAGATTTTAGGGGTATACAAAAATAAAATAAACTAAAAGCTCAAAAATTTCACTTAACGAAAGGCAAAAGCAAAACCCGTAAAAGGGAAAAGGATTTGAGGTTTGTTAGGAAGTTGCGGCCTTTTTGTGGATCTAATTTTGGGAAATAAAACTGCAATAAGTGAAAAAAATTTTAAATGACACAATTATTTAGCCAAATTATTTAGAGGTTTAAATGAGTCGAGCCAAATTCGGTTTTATGATATTGTGGTTGTGCAGTGTGCGCTGCTTTTATAAACTCGAGTCAAATTCAACTTGTTAGAACAAGATCGAGCGTAGAGTCGAGCTCGAATTTTAACGATCCAAACACAAACTTTTGCATAATTGATCATGGAAAACTATATAAAACTTTCCATTTTCGAACCTGAACGAGTCCCGACTCACTCGTTTATCAAATGAGTTAGTCGAACTCACGAGCGATGCGTTTCGTTGAACACTTGGATTCGAACAGTGTAATGTCGTGATAATATTAAACTTTTAGTAGGGTAACACTCGCGTAGGGTAGGCTAAGTAATTTTATAGAGTGGTTTGATATAAACTCAATCGAAAATCAACTTTAAATTAACCTCATTATCTCCAATATTATACTAATTAAATAACACTAATCAATTATCTTCAATTATCACACAAATTTTACTTCATTGTTTATCCAATCACATGATTTTAAATGTTTATCTCTTCCAATATTTTTTTTTTTCTTTTACGTTAAATATACTTTAATTGTCTTATTTTAATTATTATCATAATATAAATTTAAAATTTCTTCCGAACGTAACTCAACCACTTTTTAAAAATTAACTCTAATTAAAATTAACCAATCAAAACCAAATCATTAACATATTTGACCAGTCAATGAGATAGTGTAGTCCAACACAAATTTTAACAAGACGAATTAGAATATTCACAAATTGAAATATAACAAAGATATTTTTTTTTTCAAATTCAAATCTTATAAATTATAGCTCAACTACCAACAGGGGTTAGCTCAAGTGGTAAGCAGCTTGATGTCGCTTTAGTAAGGTCTAAGGTCTCGAGTTCGAGTCCTTGTGGATGTAGAAAACCCTTGTTGGGAGACTCACCTACCACAGCCAGGTGTGCACCCGGGTCAACCAACGAATTAGCCGGGGCATAACTCCAGATACCGTGGCTGACTACCAAAAAAAAAAATTATAACTCAACTCGTTTATTACATAAGTAGTAGAGATTATTCGGTTCGTGTTAACAAATAGATTATTATTTTTTTATTTATTTATTTATTTTTTTACTTAACAAATTGATTATTAGGGCAGTGTGATGTAATAATAATATATTGGACTTTTGGGCAGGGGCCCACTAGCGTAGGGCCGGTTTAAGAATTTAAAATGATTGACCAGCCAATGAGACGGCGCCATGTGGATGGTGACCGTTTGACTGGAAAAAAACAAATAGAATTAAGCGTAGGGAAAATTATTGTATTGAATCCAATAATTATAGAGACAATTCAATAATTTTTGGTAACTGGCAACTAAAATTTACAGCATAGTCCATTAAAAGAGACGAGTAACGGGCAGATTTTTGGGTGGTCAAATGAACGTTGTTATAATGTTTATTACACTAAGGGAATTTGTGCCTTTTCTCAATACGTTACACTTATAGTGGATTGGTGTGATTATATAAAAATTGCATTACTATTTTACTTAATTTATATTTATAAGATTAGGTATATCTTTTATATATTCAATTTGGATGACAAATCAAATACCGTAAAAAAAAAATCAATTAATATATCATATATAAAAAAGTTATAATAAAAAATATATATGTTTTGTTTTAGAAATATATTTATAAATTAATTGGCTTAACCACGACATCGTTGGAGTTTCGCACCCCTAAGAATCTTAGCCTAATTAGGCATTTGGCCTCATTCTTTGTACCGAACAAAAATTAAGAGCATTTTATTTTATTTTATTTTATTTGCTTTTTATCTAAACTGATGTTTTAGCGTTTCGGTCAAGTTAAAACAACTGAAATTCCCGTTTGGTTAAGACTTAGGGGTCCATGGTTTGGCAAAACTTCGAGCTGGTTATCTGGAGGGTCCAAGGTTGTGCAGAACCTCGAGTTGGTTGGCTCGGGCAAACGAGCTTGAGAACCATAAGTTTAAGATTGACGGAACCTCGAGCGATTAGTTTGAGGGCCAAGTGTTATGTCAAGGGGCATAACCTCGGGCTGACGAGCTCGAGGGCCCAAGGACACAAAAAGTTTAGCCAATGGACAGAAACTCGAGCGGATGAGCTCGATGGTCCAAGAAAACTGGCAAAATCTCGAGCGAAAGAGCTCGAGGGCCTAAGTTAAGTATGGCAGAAAATCTAGCGGTTAGCTCGAGTGCCTAGGTCAAAGGAGGAAAAACCTCGAGGGGTTAGCTCGAGGGCCTAAGTCAAAGGAGGAAGAATCTCGAGGGGTTAGTTCGAGGCCTAAGTCAAAGGACGCAGAATCTTGAGTGGTTAGCTCGAGGGCCTAGGTCAAAAGAGGCAGAACCTCGTGTGGTTAGCTCGATGTCTTAAGTTTGGCAAAACCTTGAGCAGAAGAGCTCAAGTGCCATAAGTTTAAGTTCGGCAGAACCTCAAGCAGACGAGCTCGAGGGCCATAAGTTTAGGTTTGGCAGAACCTTGAGCAGGCGAGCTTGAGGGCCATTAGTATAAGTCGGCAGAACCTCGAGTAGATGAGCTCGAGGCTATAAGTTTGACATAAACTAGAGCAAACGAGCTTAAGGGCCACAAGTGTAAGGTTGACAGAAGTTCGAGCTGACAAGCTTGAGGACCATAACCTCTTCACATGAAGACCATTAGAAGTTAGCTCGAGGTGGGGGAGGGGGGCATAAGGTTTTTGTGACAAAACCTCGAGTGGGTGTGGGTCAGCTCGAGAGCAAAAAATTAAGGCAGCGGGGCCTTGAGCAGTTAGCTCGAAGAACAAAGAAGCATGACCTCAAGCGGTTAGCTCTGTGTGTCAAGAATTAAAAGAGAACACGTATCACAAGACATAACTCCGAGAACATAGCTCGGGGGAGGGGGGACTAGATGATGTAGCACGAAAATGGCTTGGTGGACCGGCTTGAGCGATTAGCTCCAGTACAATTGGTCCAAGAGAGCTTAACCCGGTTTATGCAATTTAAAGGTATATGCCTATATGGTGTTGGTTTAATACATATAAAGATTTTAATAAATATTCCTAAAAGATATTTAAGTAAATTGGTATAAATCTACACAATTATTATGAATGATCAGAATCTTTGGTTATTAAGGAATCTCTTGTCTTGGGACTTGGGTGTAAGTTAATAAATCCATTATAAATAAAAGATCTAGGTTCAGTCTCTAGCTTAAGCTCTTTTCAATTACAATACAATTTCAGATATTATTTTTTGATTAGAGCGTCAAAGTGTCTATGTCGGGGTCCCACCCCCGGCGCTTTGCAGGTCGATCCAGTTCAAGACATGAAGGCGATCGAGATGAAGCGGCTCGACCGACAATCTTGGTGAGTCGATATTTTTATGCATCAGCGCGCCTGCGACTGTGCTATGCTTCACCCATGGTTGCGACCCTTGCATCTTGAGACGAGCTTACAGAGCTCGGTTGTACACATTCTTAAGATGTCGACTCTCATCTTCATCATCGCGTTGAGACATCTTCATAAGTACTTTCGTGCACAAAAAAACAGTTTGTTCACTTTCATTCCATCTCGTATTCTAAAGTGTCTCTAACACCTTGATACGATGCTTTGTCTAATCAATAATCATGCTAAGTTATAGTTTGACAAATTAAACGTTTGTACTCCTATAGCTCATCAAGTGTGGAGCATGTTGATATGGCTCATATATTGACAAAGGAAGGAGGCAGACTGATGCCTGCGAGCGTAACGGAGCGAACGTAGCTAGGGAAGCGGAGCGACCGAGCGAAGTATAAATACATGGTGTATTGATGTATTTGTGACTATTGAGAATAATATAGATCCCTCAGCCGCCGTAGACGTAGGCATATTGTCGAACCACGTAAAACTTGTGTTGTTTACTTTTCTCATTTTTTTCTTAATTCGTATGTCATATTGTCATCTTCACTCAACACAACAATAGAGTGTTGGGAAAGAGTTCGATCGTCCCATCTCATTTATTCATTCATTTTAATTTTATATTGTAATAGACGTTGATTCAAGTCCCCTACTTTAATAATAAGGAGAATTTTGGGGTTCATTTCAATTTGGTTATTTTTAATGTTCAAAATTTGGTTCCAATTCATTTATGTTTTGTTTAGTTACTTACCGTTGTTCTTTAAAAAAGAATAATAATAGCATAGTGAGTGCTAGTTATAACATAGTTAATGTGATGCATAAATGATAAAATAGTGGGTGGTAGCATAGTTTTTAAACCCAACCCGAGAATCAACACGGACAGGTCTTTGGGTCACCGCTTCAATAGGTCGGTCACCGGATTAATTGCTAAACCGGATAACTGATTTTAAAATATTTTAAAATTATACTTAGAACATTTTTTGTCATGTAAAATATACATAAAAGTAACAGAATTAAATGTTTTGTATCTCAAATTTGTATATTATTTTTTAAGTGTTAATAATATGTATTTTATGATATATATTTACCATATAATTATATATACATAGTTTTATTTGTTAAGAACAAAAATATTTTTTTTAAATATATATATATATATATATATATA